TCACGTACTGTAAGTAATTTTTAATTCAACTTTTTCAGAGATATAATTGTAAAAATTAAAGTCAACTTAGGGGTAAAAAGGATTTTTTGAAGCAACCAATAACCGACGTTTCACATTTTGGTATTTTGCCCCTTCAAGGTACAAAAATACGTTCAAGAAGACTTCTACCGAAAGGTGAAATGTCGGTTGTTGGTAGCTACGATAAAATTCCTTTTTTATCCTTAACTTTACCTTATCTTTATAGTAATATTTTTCTTGGATCTCTGTACGATTCAATTCAGTTTTGAAACAACTATATACAGATAATTTATTAGTATTTTATAAAAGAATGGTGCATTTTTTGAATCTCAAACACCAACAACAAAAGATGTAATTTTGTTTGTTCTTTTTTCTTATAGTGCGGTGGCTGAGGGCTGTAGCAACGTCGAGAGTCCGAAAGAAGAAGATTTTGAAAGTAACGAAATGGAATACAAAGTTAGCCAAAGAATTCCGTTTTGTGAACTGCAGTGACAAAAAGGGTCCGAGTTCTCTGCAACTCGTAAAATCGCAAAATCCGATTTGAACTTGCCAAAGGGCAAGATGAAGTGGACGTACAGCTCGGAAGAGGGACCTAAATGCATTTTCAAACCGTATTCCGAAAAGAAATCTTAATAATAATAATAATAATGCGTCTATTTCCTTCGGCCAACGAACGAAGAAAAAAGTTAGATAACAATAAATCCTGTGTATAACTCTTTCTTGAGTCTTACGAGTAAATTAACGATAGTGATTTTACTTAGATAACGCAAAGTATTCATCAATAATTACAAAATAAACGAATTGATATAAGCTCAATCTTAACTATTATTTTACCTTCTTACCCTAACAGAATTTCACCAACAGTTTCATAAAGACCAAAGTTGTTGTAAATCTTTCTCTGTTTTTGTTGTCTATTTGCTATCATGTTTGCATTGATAAACAGTTTTAATAATTTATTTTTTCCTAAAACTACCTCGTATAAATCCTAGTGCTCTGATAGCTAGGTAAGTAAAGGAAAAATTGGTTTGCATGTATTCCATCTGAGGTAAGTTCTAAAAATTGTTATTGAATACATGATTAAAATCCATGTTTACATATGAATAAAGAAAGATTTTCACAAACTTTTTGTGTTTCTTTATTTGTATTTTAGTGTATATACTCATACAGGAGAAATCATTTCTTATTTTCTTCGTTTATTGCCTTTGTGAACAGGGTTGAATAAAAAAGAAATTTAAAAAAGTTAATTCTTGTGAACTAATACCTCGAAGAAATCAGTTAAAACTCAACTTTAATTTATAGATTACTAAACAGCAATCTTTTCTTCCTGCTTAATTTCACATTGGTAAATTGCGAGATGTCTCTTTAAATATCTTTGAAACATTGGGTTGTAATTGATACATGGTTATTGAAATTAAAAGCAGATGACTAAACTGAGTTCCCTGTATTTTGTTTTTGTAGAAAAAATCAAAAATGTTTGTTATTGTAATACAATAACATACTGATTTGGATGATTTTCCAATAAAATAAATTTAATAAACTGAACAAACGTTCTAAAAATTAAGCTTTCAAAAAAAAAAAAATTAAGATAAAATTTCGTAATTTTCTTGTGACTCACCCGATAACGTCCTACTGGTACGTATGCGTACTAACTGAATAACTGGGATAATGTTTTAACTTCAAGCTTTAATTTTTCAAAATTGAAATCGATACATGTTGCAGTGAAAAAGTCAGTACACTAAAGCTTAAGAATTGCACTAAACAAATTGCACAACACAGAAGTTCCCATTCGCTTCTTCAAGGGGCACTAGCAGAGTGAAAACCTTTTAGCACCACAATTTCTCATTAATTTTTCTTTTTTGGTTGATCGATCACAGTTCTCTTCTCATCCATCATTTCTTTGGATAATTAGCGTTAATTTTATGAGAAGTAATTCACAACGATAGAATTAATTTATTTATTAAAACACTATTAATTATATTAATATTAATTATAGATACTGATTAAATATTAGTAAATAGAACTAATTGCTAAGAGTTTTAATGTAAGTTTTGTGAAAATTAATAGAGATTTTAAGTAAATTTGGAAAAGGAACTGTAATTGGTTTTTGCAAGGCAAATGCGAATGTAATTGGTAAAATTACGAATAAGTTTAAACAAACGGTAATGTAGGTGATATCTGCCTAGATAAAAAAGCTATTGATATTTTGGGGTGTACATGATATTTATTTACCATTTTCAGGAGCAATGACATGGGGTACGACATCCATGATTTCTTCAATGGATAGAGACGACAGAAGTAATTTCTTCTCGCGGTACAATTTTAAAAATAAAAACACTTCATTTTCTTGGACAGAAGATGAAGCAGCAATTAATAAAGAGGTATTTTAAGGGTCTATAATAATATTTATATTATGTTGAAGTGATTAATAAATGTGTGTTGATGATCTTTTTGTAGAGTTGGAATTGGTCTAAAGATCGAAATCAATTAGACAAGGGTAGGAAAGTTTCGGAAAAACTTCAGGAATTGAGTATCCTGTCGGAAAAATTGGGATGTTCGGTTGCTCAGTTATGTACTGCCTGGTGCCTCAAAAATGAATCTGTTCATTGTTTGCTTTTGGAAGCTGCGTCGGAAGAGCAATTATTTANTGCTTCTTGCACAGAATTGAAATTACATCATTCATAAAAGAGTCGAAAAGTCCCTTCTATATGGTCTTCCAGGTTTAACTTGACAAATAAAATCTGAATTCAGCACTATATATAAATTTTTTTTGAGAGTAACCTTTTACTACTAAGCATTTTGCCGTTTTATTAAACAACACAATTTCCGAAATCAACCTGTCGGTCGGCATTATTCCATTTCTTTAACTAAAAATGAGTTTTTTCAGACACATGAAATAGTCACAAAACCTTCTAAATAAATCAAGCATCTGTTTTGAAATTGGAAACTATAAAAAATTAAAAATTTTTTCTAGCGATACTGTGCTCTGCGTGGATTATAAAAGCGCCCACCTATGAAATTTCGTTTAAAAGTTATAGCTCTCAAAAGCTTTGGCCTCGTGTTAATTCTTGTTTTCTTATTTTTAAGATTACACAATGGTTAAATATCTCCGCTGTATCGTCAAATCCTAAAGAAAAGGTTGAGATATTACAGAAACTTCAAGAATTTTTAGTTAGAAAAACACCTTTTTTGTTACGTGAATTTTTACAAAATATTCTCAATTTTGTTACTGATAAGAGTGCAGATGTTAAAAAAACATTAATGGGTTTTATAGAAGAAGTATGGTAGGTTTGTGGCAGTTACAATGTGTAAATTATTGCTATTTTAACTGATTTGTAGCAAGTTAGACGAACAGTACCTTGTAGATGTTATGGTTACAGTTCATTTGTTATTGTCTGATAGCAATATTGCAGTTCAGAAAAGGGCAATTCAAGCAGCTATAACAATTTACCGTAAAATGCTTGTTTGGCTATGCAAAGCTCCAGCAATCACAGAAAAAATGGAGCAGACATGGAATNTATTTTCATTTTTGGCGTTTTTCTGAGTCCACAGGAAGACCTTTAACTTCCGACTGGATGGTCCGAAATCTATGGAAGTGCTATCAAAATTTTCTAGAGATACTGCGCTCTGGGTGGATTATAAAAGCGCCTACCTACGAGATTTCGTTTAAAAGTTATAGCTGTCGAAAGCTTTCACCTAGTGTTATTTTTGAAATCGAGAATTAAATGTTTAGGAGAACATATCTGACGAACTATAAGAGATAGCGCAAAAATTCTTGCACTAACGGATGGCCCGGATCGTCGTGAACTCGAAAGAAAATAAAATATTAAAAATTTTGAAAATTTTGAATTTTGGATCGGCACAGATTTCGACCGCACATGTCCTATAATGTTCGCACTGAGCCGGGGCATCCGTCTGTGAAAGAATTTTTCCGAAAAGTCCTACCGTTCTCCAGCTACGGGCTGCGAAAAGTCAAAGTCAATTTCGTTTAAAAGTTGTAGCTGTCGAAATCTTTGGCCTAGTATTATCTTTGAAATCGAGAATTAAATGTTTAGGAGAACATATCGAGCGAGTTATGAACGATTGTTATGGCTAGTTTTGAGCACTAGTTCTTAGTACTAACTAACTAACTAACTAACTTAATAACTGGTTGTTGTCGTTAATAGTAACTGTTAAGACTGTCGCATTTGGGCATATCTTCATCGCAAACATTTTGTTCTTTTGAAGTTCCGAAATTAGATTTGAAATATGATTAGTTATGCTTGAAACACCCTGTAGATATGCTTTGGATTGGATTTCCATGTTGAATAATCTATAGGATGCCCCATGACCACCTAATTAACCATCTCTTTTTCTTGTAGATCAGAAGAAAAAGGATTATCTCGAAAGCACATAGTCGAAAGCGTTAGAGCGAGCTTGATGAGATTACAGTTACCTTACATCGATATCGTCATAATTCATAAGGCCGATTCTATGTGCCCAATGGAAGGTAACTTTTCTGCAGTAATTAAAATTTTAATATCCAACATCAACAATACGTTACTGTTAAAGGAATTTGTTGCTTGTTTTTTTCTTAGATATCCTTTTGTTTATGTTGACAGAGGTCGTCAGAGCTATGCATTATATAATTTCGCAAGGATGGGTGATGTATTGGGGCACTGCAAGGTGGTCCCCCGTGGAAATAATGGAGGCCTATACTAACTGTCGACAATTCAATTGTGTAACACCGATCGTAGAACAGACGGAATACAACATGTTTTGTAGGGAGAAGACCGAGTTACACATGCCCGAACTGTACAATAAAATTGGAGTAGGTAAGATCATTAATAAAACTAAATGAAATAGAAGCAGGGTCTATCAATACGTGAAGTCCTTTTTGGTTTTTAATAACCAACGAATTATTAAAATAATCGTTATTAGAAAATGATTTTACTATCCTTCGTGTGGTTTCCACCCTTGTATTCGACTCGGGTGGCATTTTCCACATGGAGGATTCTAAAATCATTTGCTTATAGATTTCATAAACTCTTGTTACCTTAACGACCGTTTCGCTACTTTGTGGCTTCCTCAGAAGCTACACTGCTCTTAAACCTGTTGGACAGATAGCACTTCTACTTATACATACATTGAAGTGATTGAAACTAGGGTAGAAAGTGAAGGGAATTATTTAACTCTATTTTGTCACTCAGTAGTACTACTATTACTCCTATATTTATTAATTTCCATATTTTCGAGGAGGTTAAGGTTTACTTTCAGTATGTAAGATTGTAAAAAATGTTTTTTCGTGGTTAGATGTGATGCATAATCACAATAGTTTTTTAATTGTTTAAATGTCTTACTGATGTTCATTAATTCGTTTACCGAAAAACCGCCCAATCTTTCCAAAGGGAAATTTCGTGCATGACCCACACTCTAATTTATACACAACTAACTGTTTTATCTTTGTCGAAGAAACTGAATTTCCGGATTCTAATCGTGTGTTATTGACTCGATCCCCATGACGGATCATGGTTACGTCAAAAGTGTTTAACGTTTCGTCTTCTATCGCAAAGGGCATCTTCAGAAACTTGACGCTGTCGATGCACTTTAGTTTACTTTTGATGACGCTATGTTCCGTCAGGGGTTTTTATCAATAAGAGACGATTAGAATCCGGAAATCCAGTTTGTTCAGACAACTGCCGTGAAAGCCTAAATCAACTTTTATCCTTGTTATCCAGTTGGTTTAAGAGCTAAGAAAATTTGTATGCAAAAGTGTTAAAACTAGAAATATAAGTAGTCTAACTTCAAAGGAATATATCCAGTTATTAATGACACTGATTAGTCTTCAAATGTTTTATAATCATAATATTTATATTGTTTCTTATTAAACACGTTTGATAGATCTTTAAAAGACTGCCACCTAATCTCACTTTAAAAATTATCTGAATTATCCAAAATTTTATTTGTTGTAAGTAGTTGTAGTTTTTTGTTTGACAGCTCATTTCTCGTACTTTATTTGCTACAAATTTCTTTGGTAATGAAGTATTTTAATGTTTAAACAGTAGGTAGTTAGTGTATTCTAAAGTTTTGTGAAATCTATGTAGTTATAGGCATTTTATCTATTACTATTACTGACACTATCGAGATAATCTTGCTTTTTCATAAACTTGAATTCCGCTTTTTTCTTGAGCCCTATCACGTAGCTAACTTTTAGATTTTGTGAATGCTCACTACCTTTTCGTATTTTTTATCTACATTTTAAAAAGATTTCGAAAAAGAATGAATTACAATTTTCATCAAAAAAGGTAAATATGTAGGTAGGTAAAGAAAATTTACATTACAGAAAATTCGTACCACCACAAATTTTCACAATTTTTTTCATAATGTGTATCTTTTTTTTAATTTCATATTTTATGATCTAACAATAGCAAATAATTTTGTTGTTAAGGCGCATCCCAAACAATGTTGAGACCTAAAATTTATTGCATATTGTCTATAGCAGTTGAAGCTTAATATTGGCCTTTATGTATAATTTTATTTACTATCATTGCCTAGAACACGGACCTCATGACCCATAAAATATTGCTTTAGCGTGGGGGCAGAGGGGTTGAGGCTCAAGAGGCGGAGATAAAAAACTGAATACTGAAAAAGAAACTACGGGTTGGGTTAGGCAACCTTGGTTTCCCAGTCCAACGTAATCCAGTATCGTAAATTTTTTTTTGAGTGAGATTTATTTCTTTGTGAATAATTTGGGTAAAACTATAGAACTGGGATTTCCAGAGTTTTAATTAATCTTTAATATTTGATTTTATATACTCTCCTCTACCCTACCTAAAACATTTTCTTAATATTATATAGTACAATGTCACCTTCATCTCCTCTAAACATTTTCCACCTCCTTCAACCATGGGCCACCAGAGCTAGAGAATTACCTTGTTATTTCTGTATGTGGAACGATTCAACCTTATAAATTCAACAATTTTGCGACAAAATTCTTATTATTTATTAAGTACTGTTTGTGGAAAAATCCTATAATTTTACTCTAAGAACACTTCTCATTAGATATTTTAATTTGGAAGTTATAGAATGATTAAACAAGCAATTTATGTAGCTG